TACTATCATTCCCACACTTGCTGGACACCCGGGGATTCTGGACACTCGAATCTTTTGCGTCCTCCCGTGGATTTCCTGAGCTCAAACTGGTGTAGATATGTTGTATCACATCTGATCTACTGTGCCGCGTTGAGAGCACGGAAATCAGTTGGGGAAAAGTAGCACGGTGAGCCTGGCAAGTCCCAGAATCATGCTACGCCGCCGGTAATCCCGCCGTTCCTGCTTTTATACCAATGCCTTGTACATATTACCTCCCAGAGTACATTGCTTGATGTATCAATGAGTGCAGACTGCAATAAAATTGGACGTTAGGGTGTTTCCGGAATGGAAAGCCGGGTCTCAAGACACGCGTGGGAGCAGACAGGACGTGCATTCCTTCATCGTGTTTCTCCCGCCGACTTCAGAGAACCCGTCGCTCTCATGGGTTCCCAAACACAGCAGTCTCGTTCCCAGCCCCTGACACCAAGAAGACGTCTTCGTATTGCCGTCACCGAAGTACAACAAGGCATACGAGGTGTCCGTGCTGCATCCCGCCTTTACGACGTGCCTCGCAGCACCATCAGTGCACGCGCTCAAGGACTACACCAGGACCGTGTTACGGCCCATCAAGGCCAAATGACATTGACAGAAGCACAGGAGGAAGTGCTAGCTGACTGGTGTCAGTATCTCGCACTGACTGCGCATCCTCTCACACGCCGCACAATTGCACCCAAGGTCAAGGCCCTCTCTGGCCGCAACATTGGGAAAGATTGGGTGTACGCCTTTCTCCGACGTCACCCTGAGCTCACAACTTCGAAGACAGCCGGATTGGACCCCAGCCGGGCCCGTGCCTTCAATCGTCTCAACGTCGCCGACTACTTCACCAAACTCGCCAAGATCATTGAAGAGCACGACATATCCTGGGAGAACATCTGGAATATGGATGAGAAAGGGTTTCAGATGGGCGGGGGGAGAAAGAATCGGGGCATTAAGTACATTGTATCCCGTCACTCGCGGGCACGATACCGTCAATCCAATGCCAACCTTGAGTTGGTCACAGTGATTGAGGCCATCTGTGCCAACGGACTGTTGCTGCCACCTGGAATCATATTCCAAGGACACCGTCTGCGGAAGTCATGGTACCCGAAGGATGGGAGCCACGTTTGGTACGTGATTCTCATCACACTGACACATCTATACAGGTAAATAAACACTATTGCAGTATCAGTGCCTCACCAAATGGATGGACAGATGACCATCTCGGCTTCGAGTGGTTCAAAAAGGTCTTCGTCCCATTTGTGCAGACCCATAATCCTTCCGGACGGAAGATTCTTGTTATTTGGGATGGGCACGGCTCACACGAGACAAACACAATCTGCGAGTATGCTTATCAGCATGGAATCTTGTTATTCTGTCTCCCATCGAAGACGACGCACAAGCTTCAGCCCTTGGATGTAGGTCTTTTTGGGCCCCTTCAGCGTGAATGGGCCAATACATGCGATGACATGGCGGCATTCGGCCAATCGGTCACGAAGGATAACTTCGTGGAAACCTACCTTCAAGTACGCGGGCGCATACTCAAGAGCGAGAGTATCCTCGCAGCATTCAAGAAGACTGGCATTCATCCATTGGATTTGTCCGTATTTACAGATCAGGACTATGCCCCAAGCTGGGCGACATCTACACGGCCTCAATTCCCATCCTCGTACCCGCGTGTACCCTCAGACACCGACCAAAACCCTGACGGAGAAATCACGGAAGACTCGAATGAAGAAACCGATGAAGAGCTGGATGAACGCACCATCGATGACCTTAACGAAGGTGTCAACGAAGACCTAGACGAAGACCTCGGCGAAGCAGAAGGTGGACACGTCGGCGCAGGGGAAGGCAGACACGTCGGCGCAGGGGAAGGCGGACACGTCGGCGT